CTTTTTTTGTTTATCCATGGAACCACTACCAATACGTCACACAAATTCTGCCTCCCTCCCTCCCTCCTCCCCGAATCAATCCCCGTTTTCCTCCGCCGCTTTGATACCAACACAATACGCCAGTCCTGAAGTATCAACACATAAATTATTGTCCAGTGTGTTGTTTTCGAGCGAGTTGACAAACCCCCAACTGTTCCTCCAGCTAAAAGCGGAATAATGCACCACGGGACATTCTGGTTGGGAGTGTTTCTTAGAAGATTTTCATCTCAGTCTACGTCTCAGGACACCAAAGTACCTAGACTAATTAGATTAGGCGGCCACGGCTGCCGTTTTAACCAGTATTCTGCTCCATCAATTTTGTCAAACAATTCTACTTTGCGAGCTTTTTATTTTTACACATTGTCATGTCAAAAGCATCAACAATGCGGATGCTCCGAACTGCCTTTCTCGTCTTTTTGTTGTTGTCGTTGTTGGTATGCTCTGACAGCGTGTTACCGCCCTTTCAACTCAAGTATTTTAGACGCAGGGTCTCCAATGTAACGTCAATCTCTCAGGTGGTCTAGTGGTTAGGTTCTAGGACTTCCAACCATGAGGTCTTGGGTTCAAATCCGATGAATGACCCGACGTTGTGTCCTTGGTAAGAGCACTTTACGCGAATTTTCCTCACTTCGCCCAATAGGAATGGGTATCTGGCAATAGACAGCGAAAGATCTTGTTAGTTTGTTAATGTTTACTGCCGGTAATCTACTGCTTGCATTGTGTGCTTCATGGGAAGCCGAGATCGTTTCTGAGTCGTGTTCTAGGATGTGCTGTGGTAGCAATAGTTGTAAATCCCATAGAACATACAGCAGAGCGAGGGTATGCGCTACATAAATGCAATTATTTAAATTTATTATCATTACTATCTTTTCCAGCACCGAGACAAGTCGTGATTCTTTTATTTTGGTCAGGGTTTTACAGCGCTCGCAACTGCATAAGGCCATATGAACGCGCGAGACACATCAAACATTTTCAGCTTTGGTAGGAATTTTGAATTTGCTCGGGTCACTGCCAAGGCCTACTCATATCGATTTTAGGATGATCACTAAGGGATCTTTAACGTGCGCAACTTCACAAGGGACTTTCGAGATTTTCCGTTCTTATCAGAAGGCTGGTGGGTTAGATCTTACCTACCACAAGAACAGGGGTGTTGCTGAAATACAGCAATAAGAAGGAGCAAAGGAGAAGCTGTAGAAAGGCAGCAGAAAGGGTCCGGAACGCAGAGGAGGGGGCAAATGGGAGGGGGACAGGGGACAGAAAGTGGAAACAAAAGCACATGATAGAACATGGCTAGATAACAAGAAAGGAGGTGAAAGGAGAAAATTTTAGAGAAGAAAATTTTCTGCCGCTGTCCAGATTCAAACCGGGAACCTACTGAAAGAGAGGTCGAACATAGCAATCTCTGGACCACATGACCCCCCCTCCCCCCGCCGACAAGTGGTCTAAATCTGCTTGGACCGGGCAAGTCGGTTTCAGCTATGAAGGACATCGAACCTTGCCAAATGACCAGAACCCTAGAAAGGTCTGTTGAGGATTTGAATTAAATTATCTCAACCATAACCCAGCATGATGAGACCGAAACTAACAACATGCCTCCACATAAACCGAATGAAATGTTTTATGAACCTTTTACAAGATATACTATATTACTTTGAAGAGTAAATTCCAATATATAAGATGAGCAAAATAAGATACTGTTGGAAAAAGCAGCTTTACGGTATCTCTTTACCCGAGATCGCCAAGATCCGGTTCCGATTTGTTAAGAAAACTGTAAGGGTCGGTCACTTTCACATAGTCTAGTCTTGTTTCCAAAACAAGCTCGTCTCAAGAGTTCTTCTTCGCTCACCTCGGCTTACGCTGAACCAATCAGCAGGCATGAGGCAAGAGGGACAGGACGTAAACATCCTCTTCAAGATTGTCGTATATTTTTTTCTGTTCCACATTTTTGTTGGGTTTTTCCGTTACTTATCGTTTATCTTCAGCGCTCTAGGAACTTCATACAGGGATCGCACAACTAAAGTCTGTTTAAATATTTTGCGCCATTTCTATATAGTTTTAGAACTTTTAAAGGGTTTAAACAGCTGACCAATTTATTATATTTAAAAAATACCTGTATATTATTTATTCCGACTGTTTCTTACAAAAAAGACTTTTCGAATACCGACAGGCTTCTGCAGTCAAAAGAACAAAACAACCCTAAATGGTGCGTTCTTTCCAATCAATGCTCATTTCAGCTCTTAGGAGGGAGAGAGTTAGTGTGTCATGAAAGAAGACGGTTAAAATCTATTGTAACGGTAGGGGGAAAACGAGATGAAAGTTGTCTTCTCTAGTTGAGACAGAGCCGCCTAGCGGACTACATTTGGCCCAAGTTGTTTATCGCCACTGCAAGGGCCAGGCGCAGCCGTCATGGAATTGTCGAGGGCGGACGGCATAATTGAAGCTCCCTGCTAATTGGCCCGCAGGCCGTGGCGTGGTGAGACACAAAGTGGCGGCTTTGCAGGCTGGTTGGCCGTAATGACGCCTGGGTTGGTGGGGAGGGGGGAGTGGGGGTAGATGGAGGTTGGAGGGGAGTGAGGGAGGAGGAAGTGGGC